GGGCCACTCACGTGCTGAATGAAACCAAAGGTCTCAAATACAGAAGCCAGCTCCTTTGCATTTCTGTCATCAACATTATCAACATGTACATTAAAATCACCTGTAATAACTAAACTATCAAAATCTGTGCACACGAATGAAAGTAGATCAGTAAAATGGTCAATAAAATCGCAACATGACTGTGGTGGCCTGTACAGGACAATGAAAAGAGTAGAAGATTGCTTTTGTTCCATTTTAAAAGAAATATACTCAAACGATGAAAAATTTCCAAGGGGCATTCTATGGGAGACAAAGTGCTCTCTAAAAACTGCAGCTATGCCTCCCCCCCTTTTGTTTTCTCGTATTTCGGATTCGAATTTAAAATTGGGTGGTGTTGCTTCTATTAGAACTGCATTTCCTGTATTTTGGTCCAGCCATGTTTCAGCCATAAGCATAAAATCAAGATCATAAGAAGTGATAAAATTATTAATTAAAAATGATTTGTTACATAGAGATCTGACATTAAGCATAGCAAGTTTAAAAATAACGTCAGAGTCGATTAATGTGGTTGATTGATTTCTACAGGGAACAGAAATTAGATTTGCAGAGTTGGACCGTCTAACTGCTGTCCTGTTTTGATTTCGTTTTTTAGAATTTAAAAACATTTTTGAGCTGGTGCGAGGAACACACACAGTCTCAATTGGCCTAAAATGTGAAAACCCTTGTTGTTCTTTAGCTCCCAGAGTCAGAAGGGAGTCAGCACAGTTCAGTGTTTGGACTGGTAATGCACTGCCAGACGGACAGGGAGCAGTGTTTGCACCGTTGTACTCACCCGGTGCTGGTGAGCAGGAGGCGGGGGAGTGCGGTGGGGTCCGAGGGGGCTCAGATGTAAACAGTCACGCCCCCCTCGGGGAACGCTGAACAACATAACGTATGTAATCCATCAACAGGCTGCTACCGTATCTGTTTGGGTGTAATCCGTCTGGACGATAGGCTTCGTTACGTTTCCAGAAAAGGGCAAAGTTATTCACAAAGACAAAGTTAAAAGAGCTGCATGTAGCCTGAAGCCACACATGCAGCGCCACAACACGACTGTAGAGGCAGTCACCTCTGTTTACAGTCTGGATTGGACCAGAAATAAAAACAGATAGTCCGGAGGATTGAAGGAGGTGGAACAGATCCATAAAATGTTTCTTCGTGACTTCTGACTGCTGAAGTTTCATGTCGTTAATTCCCACATGCACGACTACCTTGGAAACGGTATCAGGCAGGGACTGAAGCAGAGGAGGGAGACGTATGAGCAGGTCTGGTACAGTAGCTCCGGGAATACAGCGAGTGACCGCGTTGAAGAAGCGGACTGTGTCTCACGATGGAATCTCCAATAATCAGAGTGGTCGGGGCGAAGAGTGGCCTCGGAGAAGGAGCTCGGTGGACGGAACCAGCGGGTTCACCCGAAGCAGGACCCGAGCCTGAGCGCCGCTGAACACATGGAGAGGAGGAGCGGGGGTGCTGACTCTCAGCTACAGGCGACCCACGCTGTGTGCTCGGGGACGCTGGAGCGGTGAGAGGGGCTGGCTCTGGGCGCTGCTGCTGCTGACCCGGTGGAGGTGAGCGGTGGTGATGATGGCTAGCTACCCCAGTCTGAGGCTGCTGCACTGGGGTCAACATGGCTGGTGGACCGCTCTTTCGCCTGAGGACTGCTTCCTTTAGGAGCGTTTTCCTCGCAGTGGACTTGGATCCTCGAGCAGTAGAGTTTGCTGCAGTGTCCAGGGATTCTGCTGAGGGGGCCGGGATGCCAGTGGAGAGGGCTGCATAGCGGTTTGCCAGACTCAGGACATGGGCCACGGCGCAGGATGGCTCCTCGGAATCCGCGGGCTCGTTATTCGTAAGCGGGCGCTTAGGTGTAGAACAGGAGGGTCCGGAGCTGACGGATCTCTCCCACACGACAGTGTCACAATATGCAGCGCTCAGTGACATCAGCCGTGAGTGCTGCCCACCAGCGACTTCAAAAAGTTTGGATACTAAAGATTGTTTCTCATTCAACTCTGCGGTGAGACGAAGGACTTCTTTTCGTAGATCTGCAATGGTGGCACGGTCGCTCTCACGGAGCTCCAAGGTGAGGCGACTAATATTGTGCATGTTTGAGCCAATTTCATTGTCACTTTCCATGTCCTCGTTAGCTTGTGTTAGCCTCTGTGCTACTAGTGGGTTTCAGTCGGGACTAAGTGCTATTTGCTGAAACCACTGAATTAAAAAGATAAAACACTCAGATATATTAAAAAACTGAACAATAAAAACGCGCTAAAAAGTTGTTAAAAGTTTACTAAAAAGGTGCACAGAGCAGCCCTGCAGTACTGCTTACTTTGACACACCTGCGTTAATATATAACGCCCCCCACAACATTTTTCATTGTATTTAAAAGCATTAATTTCATTCTTAGCATGGAACCCAAATAATCAATAATAACTTAATAAAATGGTTGGATGTCCCAAAAATTGATCAAAGTAAAACGTGCAAAAGGGTCAATCACCATAGTGACCAGCATCCGAGGGAGTGGATTTCGGTAAGAAAGTGCCTTATAGAATTAAAATCACAATATTAACACTATAAATATGTTATTTATTATGTGTGTAGGTTACTGCAACTTCTTTTCTGGATTCCTCATCACTAAATATTGTGTTTCTGTGATTGTTTCCACACTAATATCTGTGCACAATCTATATACACTATAATGATTGACTGGGACCTCACTATAATTCCCACAGGATGAGTTCACAGAAGTGGGACACGTGCTCTCTACGTACGCTCCAACCTTGACCAGTGTAGTACTAGTTATGGTCTGTTAACCATCACCTCGCACTGGGAAACAATTAGCTACTGGTTTACATCTGCATTTTCAACACTTTTCCCATAACTTCAACCTCTCCTTTCTTTCCCAGTCTCTAAAAATCTAATTTTTTTCTAATTTTTCATATTTATTCACACCCAACAGGCTGTGTAATAGCTGCTAAACCACTTTGTTTCCCAGTATAGTCCAGAGGCCGACAACATAAAAAAAGAGCATGTGTGTACTGCGAAGCTGAAGTTGGCTGGATAACTGCGTACTGATCTTAATTTTACTATGAGTGAGCGGCAGAGAACCACATAACATGACATGTTTTTAATATGACGTAATATTAAAAACACATCATATAAAGTTAACGCTCAGTCCTCTGTAGATACCATAACACACTTCTACTGAACATTTAGTCGTTTTAGCTTTGCAACGACTCACCAGAACTACCTCTACTCATCTCCAGTTCATCCAGGGGCCCCATAGTTAACCTCACAAAGTGTTGTTGAATGAGTTTCAAAAGGTTGGAACATTCTAACAAGTGAGCAAACCACAATAAATGTTATTATTACTGATGTATTATTTGGATGTACAGACGTTATATAATCAACTCTGCACACAGTGACAGTAAACAATAATGACCTTAGCCACATCTCTCTTCCTCACTGTGGTTCGCTTGTGATCTTCTGAAGAGGACAGAGTCCTGGTGTAGAGAAGAACTGGATCCACCTGCAAAAAGAGATAATCAAACCGCACATGTTCCACATTTAGAAATAAACTTGTTGTGGGACAGTGATGGTTGTGTTCCTGACTTTTTGACAGTTTTCATTTCAAGCATTTAAATTGTTCATTGTGCCAAGATTACAAGCTTGTAACCCTTTTGCAGAAGAGCCGACTTTCATCTTCTCTTTGTTAATCGCTGCGCGAGTCGTGGACCTCACACAAGGAGACGCCCAGGGCCTCTGCAACCTGGTAAGGACCGGGACCTCTGCACCTGGAGAGGATCAGGACCAGGACTTGGAGTAGACAAGGATAATTAAAGTTCAAATCATTCATTGATGGATGATTTAAAAACAAACAGGCTGAGAACATTACAAATCTAATAAATGATCCATTAGGACTCAGCACATGTTTGAGTCCGATGACCTCCGTGTGTTTGTGTTTTGTTTTATCTGAACAGTACCCCCGGAAACGGTCAGCTAGGCACCCTCAAGAACACTGTTATTGATTCTACATTTATGTAACATTATTAATAAAAGACACAAACTTATATAGAAAGATGAATATACTGTAGTTGACTTATGATTCAATGTTGACAACATGCTAAAACATCAAGAATAGACCTGGAGTGGTTTTATGTCCTCTTGCCACTTCTCTCTGCTGCTGTTTTTTGTTTACTTTTTAAACTTCAGATCTTGAGACAAATCCTCAAGCTGCAAGATAAAATGTTTCTTATTGGAATCTTTTGAATCCTCAGACTATGAAGTCCTGAACTGAAAAAACCTTAAAAAACCTTAAAAAACAAAAGTATTGCCACTAAGTTAGATGTGGAACATTCCCCAGTTGAATTACATTATCTACATATTTACTGTATATGTATTAAAATTATATATTTTAATAACATGAAAATATTCTGAATATTCATGTCTCAGCACTCAAAGTTGCATCATATTGTTTTTTTCAAGTCATCTGCTTTATAACATGTGAGCAAACCACAGTAAATGTTATTACGGATGTATTATTTGGATGTAGCAGAGTTTATCACTAGGATGTACAGACGTTACATCAGCTCTGTACACAGTGACAGTAAACAATAACGACCTTAGCCACAGCTCTCGACTCAAACGATTTCAACACCATTACATTTCAAATCACTTTCTTTGTCTTTGTTTTTTATTGTCTTTTTTGCACACATGTACCACTTAATTGTACATGTGAATGTTTTTATTGTCCTATATTTTGCGAGGAATGAGGTGGCCTAGGACAAAGGTGCTTTTGGTGGGTAAACAATGACAGGGTTTGGGGTAAACATAGGCGGGCCGATGGCACGCTGCTTACTCCGCTCTGATTGGCTGACGGCACGCTTTAAAACTTCACATGAACACATCTTTGTAAACACAACACCAAAAGCTGAAAGACAATCAAAGACACTATAAGGCAACCATCTTCCCCACGCTGCTGTTTCGACATGAGTGGATGTCCCTACTTTGAGAAGAGGCATTTGTATGTTGCTTTGGATTCCAATTGGGAAAATAATGGTGGATTTTGCAGAATTTTGTGACATTTTGAGCTCTTCGTCCTCAGGTTGTTCAAAAGCAAACCTCCGAAAGGTGAAGAGGAAGAGGATGCAGCACAGGCTGGAGTGAACAAGGCAGCCAAGGGAGGGACCATCTATGGAGACTACTTGCAGGTTAATATAACGCGCTGCAGGGGATGACTACTCTGCACAAAACAACTGTCAGAACTGAACATGTTGAATCGTTTATTTTGATCAAAGAGTACTTGACAAAACAGACCAAGACACAGAAATGTCCAATAAAGACAACAATATGCTCATCTGACATAGACAATTTTTACAAAAGTCCTTTTGTTGGACACACACAATAATAATATGTTCTATATGAGAGTGGAAAGTTAGTTTTCCAAGCTTTAAGCCAAATAAAAAGCATGTGTCTTTTCGCCCCTGGCAGCTGGACAAAGTTCTGGGTGCACAGGTCCTTCAGAGTGAATTGAAGGACAACAAAATCCACGATGAGCACCTCTTCATTGTCACACATCAAGGTAATATTTCACGCCGCACAGAGACGCTTTGTAATCATGTGAAGTCAGACAGAAAACAAGAACAATATGAAGTAATTGTCAAAATAACAGTTGTAACTCATAGAATGCTGTTTATCATGGTTTTGTTCTCTGGTTTGTTTTAAAATGGAAGTCTAAATAGAAGAGAAACAATATAGTCGAAGGAAAAAAGAAGTTTAGAGACCACTGGTCTAATGTGTTGGTTTATCTTACAGCCTATGAACTGTGGTTCAAACAAATCCTGTTCGAGTTGGACTCTGTGAGGGAAATCTTCATCAGTGGACATGTAAGTTCAGTTTTACTAATAACATGTGGGTCCAGTTCACTAATAACATGTGAGTCCAGTTCACTAATAACATGTGAGTCCTGTTCATTAATGACATGTGAGTCCTGTTCATTAATGACATGTGAGTCCTGTTCATTAATGACATGTGAGTCCTGTTCATTAATGACATGTGAGTCCTGTTCATTAATGACATGTGAGTCCTGTTCATTAATGACATGTGAGTCCTGTTCATTAATGACATGTGAGTCCTGTTCATTAATGACATGTGAGTCCTGCTCATTAATGACATGTGAGTCCTGTTCATTAATGACATGTGAGTCCTGTTCATTAATGACATGTGAGTCCTGTTCATTAATGACATGTGCCTTGTTTACTACAGGTGCGTGATGAGCGCAACATGCTGAAGGTGAACACTCGCATCCACCGCATCGTCATGATCCTGCGCCTCCTGGTGGACCAGTTTGCGGTGCTGGAGACCATGACAGCTCTGGACTTCTTTGATTTCAGGTTAGCTCAAAATCACCATAATAAAGCATCGGTTTTATTTAGTGCTTTTAAGACATTATTCACTCCATACCCTGTGGTAATAAACTGTGGCTACAGTTGCCACAGCTTCCATTTGGCTGACAAGAGCAAGGCAACTGGTCTGTAACATCTACATCTCTGACCACCACAAAACATTCATACACTCACCAGACTCATACTAGAAAAGTCGGCTTTCAGAAGTCTCTGAGAACAGCAGGCCCTGCTCTGCTTAGTTTTAGAGGTCTAACAGGATCTGGTCTTTCACATGCATGATGTTTTGCCACTGCTAAACTACCTTATAAAACAAAGGTGGCCAAAGGTTTCTTTTACAACAAGCATGCGTTTACACTGTTTACAAGTCTCATAAAACGCATGTATAATATCAAAAGCAGCCTCCGACAGAAACCACATGGTACCCATTTACCCCCTTCAGTCAATAACTCTATCACTACTAATCACAGGAACAATCACTGGAACGAGGGCAGAAGTAGTTGGTAAAGACTTTCCAAATGTAATTCCGCTTTGTCCATATATATATATAGATACAGTATATATATCTGGGCCAAATCAACTGATTGTGGTCCATAGTTCCATGTGTTGAAGATGTTATTCTATAGAAAAGTGTAGCTCACCTGTGGATCCGGGCTTTTGCTGTGGACAGGGAATACTTGAATCCAGCCTCGGGCTTCCAGAGTCTGCAGTTCCGTCTGCTGGAAAACCGCATCGGCGTTCCAGATAACCTCCGTGTGCCCTACAACCGCCGCCACTACCGTGACAACTTCAAGGGCCGCGAGAGCGAGCTTCTACAAGCCACAGAGAAAGAGCCCTCTCTGCTAAAACTGGTGGAGGTGAGCTTCTACACTAGGGGCCACTTAAAGTGGTCTTGCTCAGTGTTTCAAACTGAAAAGAGTTTCCCCAAAAGGCCAAGTGTTTATTATTTGCTTGAATGTGTTGTCAGGAATGGCTGGAGCGGACGCCGGGTTTGGAGGTGGCGGGATTTAATTTCTGGGAGCGACTGGAAATCAATATATTTGAAGGTTTGAATGACGAGAAAGAAAAGCTTGAGGTGAGTTTCAGCACAACTGCTGAAATCTGGACCATGACTGGACCTTTTCATTTATTGTATGTGTTTGGGACAGAAACTGGTGGACGGTGAGGAGAAGCAGGAGCTGATGGAAGATTGGATCAAACAAAAAGAGGTCTTCACTTCGCTGTTCGATGAGAAGCGCCATGACCACCTCCTCAGTAAAGGTATCTCACAGTTCTAGAACTCCCTGTAACTCAAACATACTCGCAAAACCGATAAGCCTTATGCTCTATTGATGCAAGGTGAATATTATGTTGAATACTTTTTAACTAGACCAGACCCAACTCATTTCAAACCAAGACTAACTCCAGATTAAATGAGATATTACCAAGGCTATACAGCTAAAATCTCTTTCTTGTATTTGTAAAATTGTCCGTGGGCCACATTGTTTAGTGGGAATGGAAGCTTCCTGAAGCTAATCTTATGGGGCTTTCAGAACGCCGATGCTTGAACGCACCTTCATGCGCACTGGACAAAAATTCACTACATTTCAGACGGAGAGTGAAGTGCTGCCGTGCTTTTCCGCACAGCGGAAGTGGCGGAAGCAGGGCGGATGGCGGGCGGGCTTTGATGCTACCGGAGTTAAGCTAGTGGCTTTTTGTGTAAAGTTCTTCTCCAAGAATGCAGCTCTGCAGCGTCTCTGTATCCAGAGACCTTCCAGAGACTCTATATAACAGCAGTATGTGTTCACAGAACTGCGGCATACGTTTATTTTATCATTTAACGGTACTTCCGCATTGGCGAACACGTTAGCAGCACTTGTTTACGGTCACTGGAGAATGAGAACTCTAGAAGCATATGTTCACAAGCACTGTGTCCCCCATTGTCAGTCCTGGTTTAGCTCCTGTTTTGGCTGTTTACAAATATCTTCAGTATGCTCACTCAGACCGCTAGTGTCCCTGTGACCACTTTGTGGCTTTCTGATTAGTGAAATGAATACATATGTATTTTTTTCATTTGCTTTATAAAGCAAGTAAATGGTCTTTACTGTAACAGCATTTGTCTCTTATGTATATTTTTTGACTAATAAGCTAAACCAGCCAAAGAGTTCCACCTATTTATTAAATTTCATTTTTGACTAAGGATTTTTTATTTATATGTAGTCAATAAATTACAGTGATTCCATGATTACTGTGTTGATTGAAATTAAACCCGATCCACCCAAATGGTGTCTCTTATTTTTCTGTTCTTAAGTTGGCAACCCTAGTCACCATTGACTTTGCATTGAAAGTCACCACATCGCATGATCGGGTCTGAATGCCCCATAACTTTTGTAATTCAGGAATAACTCATGTCTAACAGAATATTGTAGAATAAAAATTATGAGAACAAATCATATCACACCATGCTCTATTCATCTTCATCAACATGTTATCTTTTGCACACTTGTGGTGTGTGGTGTGAACCTGTGAGTCACCATTTGACTCTTTGGACTGAGAAATGATTGTCTGAGCGGTCACTTTTCCCGCTGGAAATTCTCAAGATGTAACAGAGGCCAAAATACATGCATATGAAAACGAGAGATAAAACCGCATAATTTTTTTGAGACAGGATCTAGTGATCTGGATTTCATTAGCAAGTTCCATTTGTGTTCTTTGAAGGATAAGTACCCCAGCTTTAATCCATCCATGGAAAAATGGTTAAAATGGAAGGAATTTTGAGGCCGTAGTATTTGGGGGTTTACACATGCACGACTTGACCCTGTCGATGCGGCCACATGTTCCATATAAAACAATTAGAAAAGTTGGTATCATCATTGGTCATCATGATTAGTACTGTGATGGGAGACCTCTGGGAACGCCAGGTGCCACATTGGGGTGGCTGCAGCTGTAAAGTGCCAAATTGTTGTTGTCATAAGGCAAGACACTTCACCCACAGTGCCTAGAATGAGTCTAGTGAGTGTGTGAATGGCTACTGGTTGGCTCGCTTCTGCCAATGTGCCCCAGGGCAGCTGTGGCAGTAGTAGTTTATCACCACTGTGTATGGAGAGAAAGAATAATGACATGTGAAGCGTCTTCCTGAAAAGCACTGAATAAAACCGATGGTCAAGCTCATTTGAACGAGCTGTAAAAGTGTGTTATTTTATTAAACATTCTAAATGTTATCTCCTCATTTTGTTTCTAGGTGAGAGGCGGCTGTCTTACAAGGCCCTCCAAGGCGCTCTCATGATATACTTCTACAGGTATTTGCAGTGTCCTTTCCCTTTCATTCTTATATGCACTGACTGTAATTGTCAGGGAATTATGCTTCATGAAGGTTCTGGCTTTTGTTCCACCTGCATAGACAGAATGTGCAAAAGTGTGAAGGCAGTTAGAAATTCTGCAGTTTGAGGTTATAAGAGGACAGATTTTTTCTCTCTTTTAACCATGTCATAAAATGTCACCAGTGAAACCAGTGTGTGAATGTTGTGTTGTGTTACCTGCAGAGAGGAGCCACGCTTCCAGGTCCCATTCCAACTACTGACCTCGCTCATGGACATCGACACCCTCCTGACTAAGTGGAGATGTGAGTCCCACAAATCTTTAACTTCGTTACACATCAGTTATCTCTCTACTTAATAATATCACATTTGCAATCATGACATGCTAAGTTAATATTTATAAGTTATAGTTAAGGACCAAAATGAGCACAAAAGCCCAATTGAGAGCTTTCTGTAGCTAGCAAGTAGCAAAAGTGAGGACAGACCTTCTGATTGGTCCTTGGTAACTCAACAGTTGCTACCAACAGAGTGTGCATACATTCTGTTTAAAAATCACATTCAAAAGACCTGTTGAAGCTCTAATCAGCGTTCTCCGCAATAAGGCAACGACAACAATATGGGTGATGGTGACATCAGGTGACTTGATCAGTCAACTCCTTATACAGTCTACGGGTGTCACCATATCTGTCCCTAAGTATAGGGTTAGTATAGATAGTACAGTACATGTTTGTAAATGCATGTTGATGTGCTTGTTCTTGCAGACAACCATGTGTGTATGGTTCATCGGATGATCGGCAGTAAAGCAGGGACCGGAGGGTCGTCAGGGTACCACTACCTCAGGTCCACTGTCAGGTATTGAGCTCAATTTCAACATATTTTTGTATAGCCCTAAATCACAACAGTAGTTTTCTTGGAAAACTACAAAACCGTGAAATTTGCCATCATAGATCAGAGAATCAAACACCTTAAACACAAGAAATGCAATGATACAAAACACATGACCAATGTCCTTAAATGTTGATGCTCATACACGTATCACTGCTACACAATTAAAAGGACAATTTTGTTGTCAAAATACAACCTGTACATTTATTTGTGCCTCTGTTCTGTGCAGTGATCGATACAAGGTGTTCGTGGACCTGTTTAACTTGGCCACGTTCCTGGTGCCGCGCCACTGGGTCCCCAAGCTCAACCCCAACGTGCATACCTTTCTGTACACGGCAGAGTGCTGTGACAGCTCCTACTGCAGCAGTGAGGACTCCGACTAGACCATAAACAAACTTTCACCATGCAATAACCAAACAAGAGTCATACAAAACCATACCAGAGCAATGAAACTGATTCAAAATGCTCCTACTGCAACAGGGAGAACTCTGACCAGACCGTAAACAAACTCACACCATGACAGAGCAATCAACCCCATGAATTCCATAGATGGGAGTCAATTTTCTTATATGGGCATTTATTCTGACAACACTAGCAACAGCGGCAGTTGCAAAGATGGTTGATAAGGCAAGCTGGAGTTTCCTCCACGAATGAAGGCCTCTGATCGGTCAATCCTCATGGATCAGTGAGCTGAACGAGTTTACTCACAGTCTATTCTTATACTCTGAATAGTAAGCCCAATACACAATCATTCTTTTTCACAAACACAATTACTTTTTTTCAAAACATCATACAATTATTTGTCAAATATATTGGTGTGAAAATTTGTTTTTTTACTGGAAGGTGTGTGAGACATGTGGGGACATTAGCTGTAACTATAGTAAATATTGTGAATAGAGTAAGTGCGCGCTTATATTTTGTATTGTATTATGAAATGTAAAAATGTTTTGGTGTATTTATATGATTATTACTGTTTGTAAATATATGTCATTTCCAACCATGTATCAACCACCACGTGGTATTTGTATTGGCATTGTACATTTTATATATGTAGTTATTTTGAAATATAAAAATGTATAGATGTACCACTGTATATGAACAATGTTGCTTTAATAAAGCGTTATTTAAGATAACAGAAATATTGTCAGCACATTTTTGTTCTTCCTCTGAAAGCCCACCAGGAGATCTTACATAAAATCTGGTTTTATAGCTACTTTAAAATAAAATCCAACAAAATTCTGAAGTCACCCTTGACCTCTTACCAGCGATGATGTCACTGCAGCTTCATCGGTCGTGATACATGCAGAGAATGTATGCTTTACTAGCAACGTTCAAGCGATCTCAAAATTTGGGATCAACGCTGCTCAAGTTAGAAATTCCACTCCGAAACTCGGGCTGGGTTAAAGGGCCCTAGGTTCCTGAGTTTCCGTCACTATGACATCTTTCAGATTGTAATTGGATGAACAAATAGAGACAAACTGAGAGGGAATGTGTTTTTTATTACACTGATTGTTTCACTTTACAAAATAATCATATTTAATCCAAAAATCTACCAACTTGGTCTCTGAGACTGGCCTCCTGCTGTCGCCCAGAGACAGGACTAAAGAGTGAGGAGGAATCATTTCAGATTCATGCAGCCAAAATCTGGAACTGGTTAAAATCAGTATTATTAGGATTATTTCTTTTAATGCCTTTATTATTTTGCCTTCTATTTTATTTCTTACCTTGTTTTGTTAGGTGTTAGGTAGACTGCACTATACAAATAAACTTGTGTTCACAGAACATAAGTTACATTTCTGTCTCTGAGATTGTTTTTGATGCACATGTCATGTCATCAGTGTCGCAGGCTCCTCTCAAACACACTGATTTTGGGAAGTCAGAAGGTTACTAAGATATCTCCCAAGATTCAGAGATGCATGAAAGCAGCAACTGCATCCAAGGGAAAGGGACACTCCCATCTACTGTTGGCAACATGAATTACCACCATCACTGCAAGACAGCAGTGTATCAGCAACACGTTGGCACAGCAGTTAGATCTCACGGTTAGAAGGTCCCTCCAACTCTGGATCTGGCACCAGGTCACTGAGCTCTGTCCCTGATGTTATAGTTTGAAAACAAAGCCTTTAAATGCATATAATAACGCTCCATGTACAACGACCGCATTTCAAATTGAAATGTTTTTGAGAAACTGATCCTTCTTGCTCTGGGTTTGTTTATGGCTGTGTGGAGACAGCGTGTACCGCGGAGTCAGATGGAACAATGGTGCTGATGATCCATGGATAATCCTGCCAGCTGACAGCCTTCTTCAGACCTGCCAGAGGACCCAGCATGGCCCCTGACCCAGCCTCCACACACACTCACTATGCGCATATCTAACCAATGTTTTGTGGAGAACGTAAACAGTGGTCAATATTCAAGATCGACGTTTCGTGCAGACATGGGAACATACGACTTGGCACTGATCCAGTTCACATGCGCTTTAGTGCTTCTGCATGTGTGTAATGGAGGATTCATTATTGTTGTTCAATGAGAATCTTTATTTTGGGTTTTTACATTCAAACGTTTTCAAATGTCTTACACCGGGGATCACCAACACTGTCCCCACAGGCAAGGATCACGTAAGGCGCTTGCAAAACTGAGAATAGTTTTGGTCACCCATACAATTATTCAACAAAAATATTAGTTTGCTCCATCCATGTTGTTTTTGGCCCTGTAATAAAAGGCTTTTTTTTTCTCACTTGATATTTTTCTACAGTATTAAATTTGTAATTCTCGTACATTCTGAACTCCTCCCTTTTAACTTTATCCTGGTTGGCTTGCAAAATTGGAGTCCAAGTCTAAGGGTGCCTGGGGGTCACTTGAGTTCGCCAACAGTTACCTAACAAGTTGTTGAGTAAACTTTACATGCTCTTCTTTCTCTGAAATGCCAAAAATCAATAGAATAAATATTAAGCCGCATCTTTTAGAGTTCAAACTCCAAAAGATTGCGTTCCAAATCACAGGTCGATGGGACAATCCTTCAATGATCAGTGTAAATAATGTGGCTTCTTTGGGACCTGATGTTAGTTTATTATTGAGCATTCTACACTCTTCATTTTGAACCCTGTAAACAATAAAAAAGTGATGACGTAACATTTTATTTAAAGAGTTTTGTGTTCCTGTGTGAGTACTGTCAGAGTTTAATTGTTGAGTAATGTCACATTGTTTGAGTTTGCGAGGTCCAAAACTTATGTAACATTGTAAAGAATCTGAATGTTTACCGCAGGTCATCACATGTAGACTTCAAAGAACACGTGTTTCGACAGTAAAATGACAAATATTAACTTAGGAATAACTGTAAACCTTTTCATGAATGTAACAAAACCTTTATTGGATGTAGCACAGGTACATGAGCTTCACATTGTATTCAGACTTTTGAGAAATATTCTTTTGTTTATTGTTAGACCAGTGAGAATAGTATTAACGTTTAGAAAGACTGATGCAGATCCAAGCCATCAAACATGTGGTGTTATCCTATTCAGTCAGAACTTGGAGAAAACTAAGATGGAATATGTCTAACCTGACAAATGTTTAAAGGCTTGTGTAGACCTGAAATCTGGTCTAAAATCCAGCACCCTGAGACGAGTAAGCCGTAAAGAAGGAGGCCGAGGACTAGTGAGTGTGAGAGCCACTGTCCAGGACGAAACATCCAAACTCCATAACTACATGATGGAGAAGGCCAAAATGGATGACATACTCAGTGAATGTCTCAGGCAGTGGCGAGATGAGGAGGTGCTGGAGGAGAGCCCATCATGGGAGAACAAGCCCCTACACGGCATGTACCACCGGAGCATAACAGAAGTGGCTGATCTCAAGAAGTCCTACCAATGGCTAGAAAGGGCTGGCCTACAGGACAGCACAGAGGCACTCATCATGGCTGCACAGGAGCAGGCCCTGAGCACCAGAGCGATAGAGGCCCAGATATACCACACCAGACAAGACCCAAGGTGTCGGTTGTGCAAAGAGGCACCTGAGACGATCCAACACATAACTGCAGGGTGCAAGATGCTGGCAGGGAAGGCCTACATGGAACGCCATAACCAAGTGGCTGGCATAGTGTACAGAAACATCTGTGCAGAGTATGGGCTGGAAACCCCAAGGTCTAAGTGGGAAACTCCTCCAAAGGTGGTGGAGAATGAGCATGCAAAGATCCTGTGGGACTTCCAGATACAGACCGACCGAATGGTAATGGCGAACCAACCTGACATCGTGGTGGTAGACAAAGGGCAGAGGACAGCCGTGGTGGTGGACGTGGCAAATCCAAGCGATGGTAACATCCGGAAAAAAGAACATGAAAAGCTTGAGAAATACCAAGGTCTCAGAGAGGATCTGGAGAGGGCCTGGAGGGTAAAGGTGACAGTAGTGCCCCTGGTGATCGGTGCACTCGGGGCAGTGACCCCGAAGCTAGAAGAGTGGTTACAGCGGATCCCTGGAACAACCTCGGACATCTCGGTCCAGAAATGTGCAGTGCTAGGAACAGCAAAGATACTGCGCAGAACCCTCAAGCTCCCAGGCCTCCGGTAGAGGACCCAAGCTTAGAGAGGGATAATCGCCCGCGGAGGGCCAAAGGTGAGTGGACAATTTTATTATATATATATATTATATATTACACATATTAAAAAACACGTAACATACATTGCTCAAACCAAACAAAAAAAACTTTAATGGTACTCTTTTTAACCGCACACTCTTGCTCTTCTCAATAAGCAGACTTAGAGATTCTTTTCCATGCGTTTATCTCCAGTTTATCTCCAGTCTAGTTAAACTACTGTAATGGCCTACTCACTGGTTGAGCTGTAAAACAGTTGCAATATATTCAAAACGCTGCAGTTCGAGCTTCCAGTGGCTCAGAGAATAGACCTAAAAGCAGCTCTGCTTGTGTACAAGTTTCTTCATGGCTTTGCACCAAAATACATCGTGGTATGTTAGTTCCCCATATGAACCAACTGAGGAGCGAAGGGGCTGGCCTCTTGCTGGGGCCCAAAGTCAAGACTAGAGATGGAAGGTACTGTAGCATTTGAAACCTTATATAACTGAAGAAAACTCTGGATATGGTCTCATACTACAATGTTTTCAGCCTTTTACAAACAAAATTCAACCAAAACGGCATGTCTCCACTCCAGGAATAATAGATAGATAAATAGATACTTTATTGATCCCCGTAGGAGAAATTCCGGTGTCCAGTTGAAGCAGAAACCAGTGGCGGTCCGTGATTCAGACCTGTGCCTGCAGTGATATGTCCTATCACTTTTCAGTGCCACAGACCCCCCCCTTTCTACAGCAGTGTGCCTCCTGTGTGAAAATGACACGAGGCGCTGCTGTTTGTACACACACGCATGACACACTCGTGCACTATGCGTATCTGAGAACATGATGAGATGTACTTTTTTTTACCCTTACAAACAGCATATATTTTACTTACATTTTTAAAACATGGAAAGAAAAAGTTGGATTCATGCTGCAAACCCAGGGCAGATGTGTTGCTAAAGTGGTTGCCAAACTCAATTCCCCCCCCCCCCCCCCCCTTTCTACAGCAGTGTGCCTCTTGTGTGAAAATGACACGAGGCGCTGCAGTTTGTATACACACGCATGACACACTCGTGCACTATGCGTATCTGAGAACATGACGAGATGTTCGGGATACAGTTTTGAGCATTAATGTGGGAAAGTCCAACGACAATATAAGTATTGGATGAAGTTTTAATGTTGTTTTCTTACCGGTGGTGAGGCAGGACGCAGCGCCATGTCTGCTGCATTGCCTAGCTCTGCAGGTTAGCTTATTGACAAACTGTTATTCCCAGGGGCAAAAAATCCTGACTCTGCTGGTCCTGGCTTTCCCGGTCCTTCTGTCTCTGTTTTTTTTTTTTGAGAAAGGCGTTATAACTATTTACTTACCAGAACGATGGATTCACCTCCTTCTGCCGTAGAGGGTTGAAAAACTAAATTAAGTTGTCGTGCTAAACATATTAGCATTTCTGTTGTTTCTGTTTATCACATTAACATGTCTGCACTTCTGTGGTCTGCACCATAGACTGTAATTGACGCCTCGCATATCCAATAAGAGGACACGCTTCCTCAGGGCCTGCTAGCTGGCCCTGAAGTAGGAGACTTGACACTGATTGGTTAATCCCACAGGTTTGTTTTCATTGACTTTAAACTAGCGCGGGCCAGTAATGTAGAGTCCTAGAGGCAGATTTTGGGCGATAGCACATAACACATGATGCTGAGTAATGATTGGATAAAAACTCTGTTAGACGCCAGACCTCCCAAATCTCAACCTGAAGTTGGAAGTGGTGCAACCAGCGTAGTTTGTGGAAAAATAAACAAAGAAAGATAAAATAATAACAATAAGAATATATATATATTATTAAAATATATATATATGTATATATATATATATTCATATATATATATATGTAATCATGTTTAGGCCAGCAGTGAAGGCCTTGCAGGCATTGAGGGTCTACCACTGGCAGAAACACATGAATTCATACAAACAAAACAAAAAATAGTAAGTAAGTAAGTAAGTACAAACAAAGTACAAACAAAACAAATAAATAGATGATTCTAAAAATAGCTAACAATAGTAATACTGCATCCTTTGCATCTGCATGCTTTCAGGTAGAATAAACCATTCAAGAAGTCTTTATATGAATTGTAAACGGATATATATTCACAAATTCATATTTATTGGTGAAACATAACACAATATTCTTCTCTGACACAACTCGGCCCTGGTATTGGCCCTGGATCGGCCCACTGCTGGGTCCTGTGCACAGTAGCAGCTGCACTACATATTTTCCAGGCGTTACCGCAGCGCTCTGGCCCTTGAGAGGTGTTCTGTCATTTGATCCCTTGAGTAGACCGGTCACTGGACATGTCACAGCCGCCAGAGGAAGTCAGCAGCCGGCCCTTCGCGGCCCAACTCAGCAATGTTTACCTCAGCATTCTGGCCTTGTTCTGCTTCAAACTCTTTGTCAAAATCTCCCTCAACCTCCTGACACACTTTTACATTGTGCGGGGGAACCGTGAGGAGGCAGCGCGGATCTCTGCAGAGTTCTATGACCACGGAGAGAAGCAGCGTGAGTACAAGAAAGTGCCTGAGGGAAAGCATGGGGATCTAAACAGAACTGTGAGACAGAGCAAGATCAGGGTAAACCGAACCCAAACTCTGAGTTAGTGTGAGTGTAAACAAAGCACCAGTGAAAATCAGATCACTCAAAAATCTTTTGAACAAGCATGTGAACCCAAGCGCTGCGACAGAAGTGGTAGGTGTCTTTTCAGTATTACTGGATTGGGATCATTTTTTCTGCATTTAAGCTGCATCTAGACTTTCAAAAAACAAAACAAAACAAATTCCACACCGCCCTCTGGTGGCATCAAAGGGAAAGGGCAAGCCGTACTTTTTTTTACCCTTACAAACAGCATATATTTTACTTACATGGAAAGAAAAAGTTGGATTCATGCTGCAACCCCAGGGCAAATGTGTTAATTAAGTGGTTGCCAAGGCAAACTGGACTTTCCAGTAAGACATCCTTATATATATATAAACAGGGAGGTCATAGAGAGTGCTAAATTACAGATTTTAATAATGGTGAGGATGACACAAACAACTTCTGAGCTAGAGGAGTCCAAACTTTGTCCATGAGCACTTCTCTATTGGGCTTCATTGAGCTTTAGAGTTACCGTTGTCCATCTGTGTACAATCCTTGGGTAGATTAAGATTAAGAAATCCTTCATTCGTCCCACAGTGGGGACATTTCAGTGTTGCATCAAGTTATTGAACTGTAGGAAAGAGGCGCACAGTGATCAATAGCTATACAAATTAAAACAAAACAAAATCTTTAGCATCAAAAACAAGTATAAAATCTCTATCTTTAAAATAATAATAATAAAAACAAGTGTAAAAGTTTTTCATTTGGCAAAATAAGAGGAAAGTATAAAGTACTGTCACTGCATGAAAAGTGTGATTTTCGTCTCTTTTCGGCCCTGTATATTACTGTGAAACTTCTGGGATTCGGCAGTTTGTTGTCCCCTCCTCCCTCCTCCACAGGAGGCTTTAAACATGTAAATGGCAATGCTGTGAGCTATACAAATGCTAATCAGGGTTGAGGGGATTCTAGTGCGAGCAATGTGTAGTTATATGTTAGCATCTGTACATTAGCAGCAGTATGTTTACATCTGTACATTAGCAGCAGTATGTTTACAAGCGTACATTAGCAGCAGTATGTTTACATCTGTACATGTTAGCAGCAGTATGTTTACATCTGTACATGTTAGCAGCAGTATGTTTACATCCGTACATTAGCAGCAGTATGTTTACATCTGTACATTAGCAGCAGTATGTTTACATCTCGCAGCATGAGGCTTTGAGACACTGGGACTCAGTAAAGTGACAGTGACATGTGGTTATTACACATTCTGATATAAGTTAAGGATATTGCAACGATGCATGACACGTGGGATCAAGTTGGCAGTGTTGATTAGTCCTCGTTGTTTGTTGTAAAATGAATCACTTCAAAAGTACTATGCAGCCGCAACTCCCTCTACAGGTGTAAGTGGGACATGACAGTGTGTCTTGGAGCGAGTAACTCAGAGACGACACATTCAATATTAAAAGCAGACACTTTCTCTCTGATGTGTATTCATAGTCCCGACACATCTCCCCACAGCCCCCCACACCCCCATGGCCTACTTTCCCTCTGCAGGTCTACAGTCACTCTACAGTTCACACACTCTACCCAGACTCATTCTGCACAGAGCAGGAGACCACCTCACAACAGACTCTACAAACATAATATCTAGGTGAGTGTAAATACATGCGACATAAACTGCCAATGGAACAATCTGCTTTATTTATTCCTTATTTTAATTAACAATATGTCTCTGTTTTCAAAATTGTTACAATATGAAAACTTTTTCTGACTTTTAAAACAGAAATATTGTTTACGGCATTACAACTGCGCACCTTCAATTCGACCACACAATGTAAGATTTACATTTTTTAAAGTAGAATGTCATTTCCCACTTGTACCACTAGATGATTCATTTATCAATCCTGACCATAATTTATTCCACTATTAATGTATATTCATAAATTATATTTTCTCATTCAATATATTTTTTTCTTGTTAAAAATGAGCGTGTACAGGTGCTGTCACACTGGAGGAACTTTTGTTCAGTTTTTGATACTACTTTTAGTTCTTGTTCCTTATTTGGAGCATTCCCACAATGTTCAACTTTGGGGTTGGTTCTTTCTAGTGAAGCTTTTTGGTTCCAATCCAGTTACATCCATTTTCTGCTATTTTTACAGTCCAAACACAACCAAAGGGAACTGAGGGAACAGGCATTTGTCTAGACAATAATTCTATAATTGGTGGCACACTGGCGCTCTTCGTTGCAACCAAGAAGGTTGGATGTTCTCTGTAAGTGTCAATGTAGGTTTTCCCTTCCCCCTCATCTCTTGGGCTAGGACTTCCCCGAAAAAGATTTAAACATCTCAGTTGGACTTTCCTGGTTAAATAATGATCAATAATTTAAGTTACTTGATCTTACGATAATATCTTTGCAATGTTATACCAACACCAATAAGAGGGACATTATAAAGCAGATGCTGGTTTAGACAAGTAAGTTTTGGCATTGCTCATCAGAGAACTACAAAACATAAATTATAATACTAAAGCAACTTCATGAGTCAAACAGAAGAAAACAATGGCGACGCAAACGTGTGGAACGCTCTTGCGGTGATTTGTGATATCGACTCAGGTGTGCAGTGAAACCGTGAGTCATTACTGTTTATAAAAGTGTTTGCTTTTTGTGTTTGGGTAAATTACATATTTAGAGAATTTAAACAATTGTCTCTGTATATATTCAGGCTCAGACCACTCTGATCTCAGTATGTCATGTTACGTACTGTAGCTGCAATTGCTATTAAGGGCACTTCTATTCTACTGTTTCGCGCCCTGTTTCGCGCCCGTAAAAATACAATACGGGCTGGAACATCACGTACAATCAACACACTTTATATTGTATAATTGCAATTATCTAAATGGTTGTAAAAAATCTAATATGAGCATAGCTGTTTCCTACCACTATTGATTTATCATTCTTCCCTCAAGCATTGTTATGAATACATGAGGGAATGTTTAACCTGAATATTTCACTGCTGGTGTAAATTGCCAAGCTCAATACAATGGAATACATTTTAAATATTTAATAAGAAAAAGATTATAGCATTTCTATAACAGTGGGATTTCTATTTTTGGTGTCATTGATGATCTCTTACTATGGGGTTGCTATGGTAATTATCTCTGCCCATGACAAACTTTAAATGCAATGGAAAACAAAACAATGTGTGTATTTTTGTGCGTGTGTGTGTGTATTTTAGGCTCCTGGGCAGATCGCTCTCCGCTCCACGATGCAGCCGCTCAAGGCCGTCTTCTCGCTCTCAGAACTCTCATTGCCCAGGTAAAGTTTTACATCTGCATGGATTAGGGTTGCAAAGTAGACTGAGGATTGGGAAGGCTTCCAGTGCAGTTATATAGAAGAAAATATAAATGCAGAAATATAAAACTGTCCATATAGTATGTCTTTTAAAAGCATTGAGTAATTCACATGGAATACACAGCCTTGGGACATTGGGTCTTGGGACTGTGAGTTTGGGACAGCCATATGATCCCCACATCTGAATGTCTTTGTGTCCAGGGCCAAAATGTAAACGTGCTGACCATAGACCACGTGAGCCCACTGCATGAGGCCTGTTTGGGGGACCACGTTGTCTGCGCTCGGACCCTCATTGATGCTGGAGCTAATGTAAGTGTACCCTTTTGTTCATCTACTATTCAATCGGCCAGTCCAAATAATATTCAAGTTCAATGTCCCGATCAGGTGTTTCAAAAACACATGTAATAATGGTAGAAGTAAAAGTTTCTAACTAAAGGATACAACAACAGCTGTCCCCCTGTGGCGTGTGGTTGTCCCAGAGGTCTCCAATAACAGAACTGACCAGCCCCCTCCCTGCTATAGCTTCTGAAGTCTGACTGCAGAAGGGGTTCCACATCGGATTGTAATGGGAGACAACGACTAAAAATTTGACTAGATTTTGTCTGAAGTCTCCTCTGTTGCCTTGAGTCTTCCTAATCTCTTGCTGACCATGTGGATAGGTGAATGCGGGGACCATAGATGGTGTCACTCCGCTGTTTCACGCCTGCTCTGTGGGAAGTGTAACGTGTGCAGAGCTGCTACTGGCGAATGGAGCCCACCCACAGATGCTCGTGTTCCAGCCCTCCCCCATCCACGAGGCCACCAGAAGGGGTACCACCATCTCTGGTCATTTAGTCCAGGGGTCTTAAACTGGTTCCAGAAATGGCCAGCGTCGCTACAGGTCTTAATTCCAACCAAGCATGAGCTCCACTCATTTCCTTAAGTCTTCAGGTTAAGACTGGGCTCACTTGAGAAAATGGGTTGAGTCTGGTGTACGTCTGCTTGGTTGGATTTTAAAACCTGCCACTGCAATATTTGGAAATCCACATGCATGCAAACCACCGTGTAGGATTTTTTTTTGTCATTTGGTCTTGAGAATAGGGCAACAATCACAAGATACAAATTGGGTGACAAGTGTTTTGGTGTAAAATTGCACCATTTACAGTTGAGCACAATTTTGACAATCACCAATCTTTGTTTGTAGATTTGGTTGACATCTTAGCATTACGCACAGACAGTGAATGGGACTCTCTTGTTTCGCCTGACTGGTTTCTTCTTGCAATACTCAGGACATTACGGCTGTGTGGAGGCCCTGGTCACGTGGGGCGCTGATGTGGACATGGACATCCCCCATCTAGGCACGGCTCTGTACACGGCCTGCGTCTGTCAAGAGCTGGAGTGCGCTAGAAAACTGCTGAGAGAAGGTAAGACATGCAGGACATACGTAAAAGCAGATTACGTTGGATGATATTTGGATTGTGTTGTTAGAACAGTTTAGTGTTTTCCAAAATTCTTCTTTAAATAATCAATAACATTTATCATACAATGTGAAATCTACACAGATGTGAGGACGATTATTACCACTACTGTGTGAGAGTTTCTGGCACAAACTGTATTCAGATGGACAATGCAAACCCCCTAGCTGAATGCAGCCCAATAGGGAAGTGCTCGTGTCCAACGTTCTGCTCATTGGCTCTGGCTCGTATTGATGTATATTGAAAAGTAAACCGTTTGTGTCGCACACACCATTTTTGTTTTAAAGAATCCATGGTTTAGTGCTCTCTGTGATCCTGGTTTTTATATTGTGATTTAGCCCAAGCAACAGACCAGTGAGGAGCCTTTTGTCCCCAAATGTAGCTTTAGTTTTCAAGTAGCGCGCGTAGGGACCCACCTGCAATGGTGCAGGTGGGTCCCAGGTTCAAAACGCCTATCAGTAATGGTACTGATAGGCGTTTTGAAACTTGGCCAATTTTATCAACCAAATTTGCATACATTTGCGTGCCAAGTTCCTGCTCAAATAGCCTGTCCGAATGGTCTCTCATCGGACTCTTCTGCATTAAGACAAACCCTATGGTGATATCAGCATTCGGTCAGTCTACTCCTAATATACAGTCTATGGTCGGTGGCAGGAGCAGACGTGCAGAAGGGCCGCTCCCTCGACTCCCCTCTCCATGCTGCTGCAGAGAAGGACTCTGCGCCGATGGTCAAACTGCTGCTGGACTTCGGGGCTGATATAAACGCCAGGAACATGGAGTACAAGCGACCCGTGGATGTGGCCCCTCCCAGCAGCCTCACAGAGGGATTTCTGCTCCTCTATGAAGGTAATGATCACAAGTTATTGGATCCACTTTAGGGCTATATTTTATCAATTAAATTAATCACCTTAGTGAGTATCGTCACTTTTCACCAGTTGATTTATATTTTATTTTTTGCCAGTTGGTAATATCAAATTACCGACTGCAACCACTGCAGTCATTCACGTCATTTCACATGAGAAAGGACACAACTAATTTATGGACTTTTTTCTTATGTTTAAAAAGGCAGAGTGTGATGTCATGTGAGGCAGAGTGTGATGTCATGAGATATCATAAAGTGAAATCATATGTGTGTCTACGTCCACAGCCACTCCATGCCGGCTGAGTCAGCTGTGCCGTCAGTGCATCCGGAGCTGTGTGGGGCGCGACCGTCTGCACCTGCTGGCTCATCTGCCCCTCCCCAGGAGACTGCAGCGATATCTGAGATACCAGTGACGAACACAGCTTTACTTCTACTACAATACTAGTGCCAATCAAATTGTGACAGAATGAGTCAACCACTCTTTGTCCTCTATTAACTCTTATATATTGTATGTATTGTATATTTGTTTGAAAAAGCCTCGTGAGTGACTTCCTCTTGGGCTGAGAGCTGATTGGGTACAAATATAAACCTTCTTAAATATGTCAGAAAATAATATCCAACTCATGTTGTACATAACTAATCCTCTTGGTCAAAATACCCTCATAATGTAAAAGAATAAATGAAAACATGTAACTATCCACTAGGAATGGGTTATATTTTCAGCCCCTGACCGCACTGTTTGACACTGTTGCTTTAGTGTATGTAAAGGCTGCCTCATGGTTGTGCTGGTGACAAAAAAATATCCACATGTCTGGCTGCAGGAGTGTCATTTGTAATTTTGCATGTTACAGCATTGTTTCCTCTTCAAATGGATCTGGAGTTGTTTTCCCTGATCACATCAAAAGAAATAGAGAGAGAGAGAGATAAAGAGAGAAAGAGAGAAAGGGAGAGAGAGAGAGAGAGAAATCCAAAAAACACAAATAAAAGATATTCATGAAATTATTAAATCAATACAAGCAAACCCCACAGATAATATCAGGAACTTCCACGTACAAACACTGTGTCTTCACATAACGGGACTGTGTAGTATAATTTGTGAAATGTAGTTTAATTTGCACATTTTGTGTAGCCAGTTTTTGGTCTGAACAAACCAGATACCCAAATGGGAGTCTTTCAGTAAAAAATCCTAATCCAAATTGTTTGTGGACTTGACATTGACAGCATGTGGCTTGTTGTCATAATGGCACATTCCAAAGATCCTTTTTCTCCCTCCCTCCCTTACATTTTCAAGGCTAAATTCTGGGCACGAGGAGTCATGCAAACAGGGTTCAAAATATACCCATCATCACACTTCATGCTGCACCAAAACCTTCTCGACAATAGATGGCTCCACATCACCATTTTTTAAACAAGAAATTAGGTTGCCATGGATATAGACACCGGGTATAGGCCAGGGCATGTGCCTGCTGCAATCCTAGTGTTGGGAGAATACATAACAAATATGTACATGAATATCAGCTGAAAGTGTGACACTGATTGAACAGGTCTTAAAGCTGGGTTACCTAACGATCCCTCTCATAAAAAATACATTTTACATTGGCCACTTTATTAGGTATACCTATCCAACTCAACTTTAATGCAAATTCCTTATCAGCCAATCACATGGCAGCAACTCAATGCATTTAGGCATGTAGACATGGTCAAGACAATCTGCTGCAATTCAAACCGAGCATCAGAATGGGGAAAAAGGTGATTTAAGTGACATGGTTGTTGGTGCCACACAGGCTGGTATGAGTATTTCAGAAACTTTTCAGCTACTGAGATTTTCCACACACAACCATCTCTAGAGTTTACAGAGAGTGGTCAGTAAAAGAGAAAATATCCAGTTCGGCAGTTCGGTGGGCAAAAATGCCTTGTGGATGCCAGAGGTCAGAGGTGAATGACCAGACTGGTCCGAGCTGATAGAAAGGCAACAGTAATTCAAATAACCACTTGTTTCAACCAAGGTCTGCAACAGAGCCTCTCTGAACACAGAACACGTCAAACCTTGAGAAAGATGGGGCTACAGAAGCAGAAGACCACACCGGGTGCCACTCCTGTCAGCAAAAAAACAGGAAATCGAGGCTACAATTTGCACAGGCTCACCAAAATTGGACAATAGAAGATTGGAAAAAGTTGCCTGGTCTGATGAGTCTTGATTTCTGCTGCAACATTCGGATGGTAGGGTCAGAATTTAGAGTCAACAACATGCCTTGTATCCTGCCTTTAACGGTTCAGGCTGGTGGTGGGGTTGAAATGGTGTGGGGGATATTTTCTTGGCACTCTTTGAGTCCCTTGGTACCAATTGAGCATCGTTGCTACGCCACAGCCCAGAGTATTGTTGCTGACCATGTCCATGTGATATTGACCTGATCAGTGTCGGAGGAACGAGCTACAAAATAAAACGTTGTTACAACTAAAATATTTTAATTGCATATTACATGATTATTTAATTAAAGTGAACACGTCTTTTGTTCTCACAATTTAACCAAAATTTGTCCCACGGAACAAAAAAGAGCTTGCTGTGTCCAATATGAAGCATTATTGTCTTCGTGATGGATGTTTTCATAAATTTAATATCTTACAAAAATGTAAGATATTAATTTCATGAAAACATTACCGTGCTATGCCAGGTGGATCAATACATTCTTTTCACAATGTGAAATGTCAATTTATTAGACAAAATTAGACTTAATTTCAGCGTCATAACAAAAAGTTTGTAAAGACTCAAAGAGCCTGTTCCTGTATGGGATTGGGAACACTCAAACTTATTAAAACATTCTTGGCAGGATCTAATTGAATGCAGTTGTGGTTGGAGAGGTGGTATCGTTGTGCTGATTTGTGGTCTTCAAGTGGGTTTCGAAATCCTTATCAGTGTTCGTGTTTAGGGACATTACTGCTAGATTATTTCCCCTGGTAGTGTTCCAAGCTGGGTTTATGGTGACCATGGTAACTGGGATATTGTTCAGTCAAAATTCAAAAATAAACATTGTCTCAGCGCTGCTTTTTACAGATTACAATTGTTTTGCTGCATGATTACTCCAAAGGCCGACAGCAGATGTACCATCAGTCTATCAAGCCTTTCGCACCTGGGAGATTTCAATGTTTTGGTCAGATGAAAATCCATACTGTCTTGTTTTCACAGTATCCAATTTGGTCACGTACAGGCGACAAAATTCTAGTCCTCATTCTACAGCCTGAGTCTTGTACCTTATATAATTTTGATTTTACTGTTTTGGTGAATCAACAACTTTGTAAAGTTCTCCAAGATGACTGCTGTTGTGATTTATGGCTGTACAAAAAGGAATTGAATTGAACTGAATTGAAATCAAAATATAATTTCCTTCTGTTGAGGTCAACCTTAAGAAGCTGTGAGGAGATGGGAAGGACATCCTTGCCGTTTCTAACGGCTGAACGCCATAGTATATTCATTTTACAGCGCCCTTGTCCAGCAGAATTAGATTTAATCTGGAGAGACTACACAAAATGTCATTAAATGAGTCAGGGGCGACAGTGGCTCAGTTGGAAGAGCATTGGCCTATGGTTCTGAGGGGTGCAGGTTCAACCTACTCAAACTGCTCCCACTCATGTCTGCTGTCGTTGTGTCCTTGGGCCAGACACTTAACCCCATGTTGCCTGAAGCCCCCACTAAAAGAACAAAGCTGTGTCTCCGCTAAGGGAGCAGCAGCCATCTTCCTGTGGACTCACCACCTGCTGGAGGATCAGCGAGGGACTGGTGCTATGAGTATTGGGTGGCAGCTCTCATTGCCACCCCCCGACCCAGAAATGGATTAAAAAAGGGGTAGAAAATGAATGAATGAATGAATGAATGTATTCATTAGTTTGTTTGGCACCCTAGGCCCTGGCAGCGGCACTTTGTCTTGACACATCCTCTTCCTGAGCCAGCCTGTTCACATCAGACTGTGGTGAGCTAAAACAGTGTTTTATTTTAAAAATACTTTGTAAATGTCTTTTAAGGGTCACAACAATCCAGTCTTGTAGAGGTATGCTTTTGTAAATCTTGTTTGCATTACACATTATCATTTGCTTTGGGTTTTCTTCATAGGCCTAGTGCTGGTTGCCGTTTACCTTAGTGTAGCATCGAGGGTCCGGTGCGGGCGTCTTACTACCACTAGACACTTATTCACTACCTCATGCCAACTGCAACACCACCCTATTGTTTAGTTAAGGTATAGGGAAACCCAATTTTTCCCGCAAATAAAAAGGACACAGGTTCGGAGGACAGAGACAATAAGTCATAGAAAACATATTATAAGTTAAATTGGTTAGGTCTAATTAAAAATAAGTTTCTGTATCAGACATGGAGTTATGCCAGGCACAGTCTGGATCCGTACACGTTGTTGGTCCACACAAACTGAAAGTATTAGTCGAGGTTACTCTCCATGACCCGCTCACCCTCCACCACTACACTATCACACTTACATTCATCTTGTTACTCTACGCATCTCATCACAACGAGTGGAAAGACCCCCAGGGCCGGCCTCCCGGACGCTCACCAAACTGTAAACAATAAGGCTGTTTGTACACAATACAAGTTGCGCAAACAGCATATACGTTTGGTGGCTTACCATATATGAAAGCATGTTAGCACCAAAACCGATCAATGCGCCCAACCCACACGCGAGCGCACAATCCAGTGGATCCAGCAGTTTGGAGACACGAGTACCTGCGGCACAGCGCGCTGCCATGCTTATTGACGTCAGAGGTGAGCGAGGGTGGGTCCGACAACGTCAGCCCTTTTTATACGCTGCTCACCTCTGCTAAATAAATAAATAAAAACAGGTGGACAGTAGACCACACTGCTACATTAGATTTTGGTTTTGCATATTATAGTTTGTGTAAAATGACTTTATTGACAGCTGCGGTGACAGGGTTCACCTTAAGAGGTGGCTTTATATTCAGTTTTTGGTGGAGGTGGTATGTATATACTGTACAGTATATAGCCTGCGACGCACGGTCAGGCGCCAAGCAGACGCTGTTGTAAACAAACATTGGCGTGTGCAACATGGATATCAAAGCTAAAAAGAGAAATAGTCTATAAGAACCGAGTATACAAGGAAGAATGGGCAGAAACATTTACTTTCATTGCCAATGAAGAAGGCAACACGAGGAACAATGAAGTGCAAAACATCGTTCACGGATGGTGATTATGTGAAGGATGCATTCATCACATTTTCGGCGTACGCATTTTCAAACTTCCATAAAGACGGTGAAAGACAGGCCCATTTAAAGAAACTCCAGCCTGTGACGTGATCAATATCAAACAGACAGTGCTGTAATGAAGGTATGTGAACTCCAGTACTATCTGGACTCCTTTTAAAGTCTACTGTGAACACACCCATAATAAGGCTGTTATATTTTGCGGCTCCAGACAGATTTGTTTTTTTGTTTTTTGTCAAATCCAGTTCTATGGGTTTTGTCCTGGTAATAGAAGACTGGATCGGCTCTTTACTCTTTGTGGATTTTGAGAAGGCGTTGGACAGTGTTCCCTTGGGTGTCCTTTCTCTCTGGTTCTCTGGGAGTACGGGGTCCGGAGTCCTCTGCTGAGGGACATCCAGTCCCTGTATGACTGGAGTCAGAGCTGCATTTGCATCGCCTGCAGTAAGTCAGACCTGTTCCCGGTGCATGTTGGCCATCGCCAAGGCTATCCTGTCACCGGTTCTGTGCACTGTATTTATGGACAGAATTTCTGTGTGCAGCCAGGGGCCGGAGGGGGTCCGGTTCGGAAACCACAGGATTATATCTCTGCTGGACGATGTTGTCCTGTTGGCTCCAACGAACCAGCAACATGCACTTTACGGTTTGCAGCCAAGTGTAAAGTGGCTTATTCTTTGTAATTTAAAAATTTGTTATATTCTGCCCTGGAAACACCTTGGGGAATGAGCTGGAGGTAGTGTGTGTGGATAGGGAAGTCTGGGCGTCCCTGCTTAGACTGCTGCCCCTGCAACCCAGCAATGCATGAAGCGGAAGAAAATAGATGGATGGATGCATTCTTTGAACCTTTTGAGTTACTGACCCCTGACCTAGAGTGACAGGATTGGGTTTGCCAAATATGATGACACCAAGGATGACCTGTGCATCGGAATTGTTGAAATAAACGCTGTGCTGGGTTACATACCCTACAGTATATTTTACATAACAATATGCATACTCACAACAACTCAATCGTCTTCTAACAAGCCTTTTCAATAATGTTGTCAGTCAATACATCTCTCCAGTGTTCTCAGCAGGACTTTACAGTTCAAATAAAGGTAAATAATAATATTCCTTATCTGCCTTGAAGTCAAAAGTGACAGAATTTGAGAATCAGTAATCATCAGTAATTGTTATGTCCCCCTTATGTGCCTACCTGTTATTTTAATGCCTTAAACCATTTTGCTTCTTATCTTGTCATATTAAGCACTTTGCATTGCCTTTTGTATGAACATATGTTTTTTTTATATGTTCGATAGGATATTCCCTAGTTTAAAGCGAATATCCGGAGTTTCTGGAAAGTCTTGGTTTTATGTATTATTCTTTTGAATTGTGAAAAAGGGATTGCGCTGTCTTTTACTATGGTCGAGTGCCATTGGTAATTTGTATACATCGATGTATGTAAGTCCCGCCCTCGGCCTATAGACCCCTATACAAACTGAAAATCGAGGCTCGATCAGCTAGCCAATAGGCTTTTACTTCCTGCAGCGGCGACTGTCAGTCAAGGTCCATGCGCATGCACAAAACCGTGCATGGCCACAAGGACGCGCATCTTCGGCCAGCGAACACAACATCATGGCGGAAAGCTCCGTAAACCCGAAATTGCCAATACCACGATTGCCATCTAAAGCTGCTCCTACATCAAAACAAAAGAAAAGTCCGGGGACAAAGTTGGCAGATAGACGCCTTCGTGACCACCGGAGAATATATCTTGGAGCGGCGTTTCAAAGGTGGAGGGACCTGCGGCTTTTGAAGGGATTTAAAACTGACCCTGAGTTGGCGATGTATCTCTTGGACAGGTAATGAAAACTTTTTAATGCCACTTTTAAACGTGTCGCTAGTGAAAAACAATACCACTGTCTTTCTGCAACAGTAGAATGTGCATAGTGTCAATTAGCATGCATCAAAGCTAACGTTAGCGTACCATTCGCTAGCAATATGTCGGCTCAGCTAGCTGGCACACTTCTACTGTGGACCGAGTCCATGTTTCATTTCAAGTCAAATGAAACTTATTGTTCGGTCTTCAATTGTCACTACATGGATTTATTGGTTTTCACGTAGCAGCTAACAATCACGGTACCCCAAAACACGTTATTACTAGCGCTACTTTTTCTGACATGTTACTTGTACTAGCTTTTTGGCTGCAAACTCCTGCAAGTCAGTGCAACGTTGTGTAGTTAAACGCCATTCTAATGATTATAACGTATCTTCTATGTTTAATTTGTAGCTATCAGAAACGATCAGATTCTTCAACGTCGACACAAAAGAAGAAATATTAAAAGAAAACGACTTGTGATGCCAGCTCTTTCCAGTATTGCAGAGTCGTTGTCTGAAAGGTACGTGATCTATCCTGTTAGCATCTGAATGATCCCAATATAAAATAAAGGCTAATCCAGTTGTTCCCACACAGCAGCATTTATATTGTGTGTACACTGTAGTTTATATCAACATTTTTCCTTATTTCTTTTTGCCTCACTCACTCTACTTTTTTTTTTTTTTTAGAGAGGAGGATTTCTACGAAGTACTCCCAATTGGCAGTGACGATGATGGAAAAAGGTACGTTATTCACGATATTATAATTTTTCGTAAATTTGGTGTAAACAATGTTTTTTTCAGGATACAGGCTGATGAAGTGGATGAGAATGATGTAAACAGTTTGCAGAATTCAATGTGAGTATAAAAAATGTATACAAGAAATTTAAGACCACTTGCTGCAAAAGATATGTTACAGAGCTAATGTTTTGCAACAAGTGGTCACGGGAAATTTGCCACTATCAAATTCTGCCTAGCCCTTTTTAAAAGTTGTTACAAGTTTTTCAGTCCAATGAGCATGTGTAATCAATACATCTGATCCAGTGCAGTACACCTTTCTTAGTTAATAATAATAATACAAAAAAATATGATGTCCCTCTGTGTACAGCATTGACTGGACAGAAGATGAAACATGGACCCCATCTAAAGACACAGAAGAAGTTTCTACCTCAGAGGAGGAAACAAGAGAGGAAGACAGTGAGTCTGACGACAGTGACACGGACTACATACCAACAATACGAATCAGGTGAGTGTTATTTATGTAAGGGGGTAAAGAGGAGCCCTGCAGTTTGAGTATAAACGCATGCTTGGAGGCTAGAACAGTATGAGGTGCTGCGTTTAAACATTTCAATCATTGTATAATGAAAAACGATGAGAAAATATCTGAACTCTGAACATTGTAAAGCGCTTTGGGTGACCTTGGTCTGTAAAATGCGCTGTATAAATAAACATTACTTAATTACTAATATTGAAATGTATTGTGTAAATAAATAAAAAATATATCATTTGTATCATTTCTGCTCAGACCTGGAGCTTCACTTGCCTACAATATTGATGAGCTTCCTGTGGCCACTGTGGAGGACATTGTGTATGATGGCATAGGACAAGACCCTCACCTCCCACCTTGTGATGATCCGTCCATACCATGCAACAGCATCAGAGTTGAAACCCCAGAGGACATTGTAGGCCAGCAAGCTGCCATTGTGTATGACACCTGCCTAAAGCAGCTTGTTACATTTCTCCAAATGCCAATTAGAAGATGTCCAGCAAAAACTCTAAAAGATGAATGTGGAGCCACTGGACCATTTGAAGTTTTTCTTGTTAAAAGAGGAAGCGCTGTTCTACTGAAATGGGTATGAGGGCAAATTGGGATTTTAAAATAAGCATGGATCAATATATCTAACACACGTTTTCATCTTCATACTCTTTAGGTGTGTCTCAATGGTCATACAGTATGGCAATGGAATTCACAGCCCACATTTAAATTCAATATGCAAACGGGCGATTTCATGCTCGCCACAAACATACTTCTCAGTGGAAATAACTATTCCAAAGTCGCCCTTCTGTTCAAGTACATGAACATGGGTATAGTAGCTCAGACATCTTTCTTTGCCATTCAAGATGCATACTGTGTGACAACCATTGAGGAATTTTGGGAAGAGAAAAAGAGCTTCCATAATCTCTAGTTTGAAGGATGAAAGAGTTGTTGCACTTGGTAAGTTTATTTGTTTTAAAGCTATAATCAAATGTATTCAATTAATTTTTATGAATTAAACAATTTGGAATGATTGACATATACATTGTTCTGTAAAAAACACAGGAGATGCTAGAATGGACAGCCCTGGTTTTTCGGCCCAATACTGCACATACACTGTGATGGACAATGGCAGTAAAAAGATTATGAATATTGCCAATAAAGACAAGCGAGAAGCCCAGGGACATTCCACCATAATGGAAAAGTTGGCATTCATTGATAGTTTAGACAAACTTAGAAATGAAGTCAATATTTCTGAGATTTGTACTGATGCGCATACCCAGATTTCTGCACTTTTCAGTAAGTACACTACAATGTAAACTAAACAATACTAGTTATTTTTTCACAATAACACATGTTTTTTCAATTAGGAACTGGAATATATAAAGATTCTGGAGTGGAGCATAGCTTCGATATGTGGCATGGTGCAAAGAACCTCGGGAAACGAATACATGCTGTGAGTAGAAATTATTTTTATTTTTGTTTATTGTATTTATGCTGACCTTTGTTTACAGTCTGGCCAACAGCGGGATTGCAAAATTCTGTTGCAGTGGAAGAAAGACATATGCAATCATTTCTGGTTTTGCTGCAAAGTAGCAGATAATTATGAAAGATTCTTTGTAAGTAGTTTTAAGCTTAAAATCTTAACCTTAAAATATTCATTTTAAAGTGAATAGATACACCAAATATTGTTGAGTCAAGTGAGGAACTTGAATTGTGCCATAATTATCTTTTTATTGTATTCTTACTAATGGCCTTTTTATTGTTTTACTTCGTAGCCCATGTGGATTGGCTTATTGCACCCACGTCACTGGTGAACATGAATGGCCCTATGATGCATGCCAACAGGACCCATTGGTGGAAGAGCCTACTAAGGAATGGATAAAGAAAGGATCCAAAGCACACTCTGCCCTTTCCGAAATCATTCTGAAAGAACGCTGGCTCAAGGATGTCCCAAAATATTTGAATTTCAGGTAGGAAAACAGGTGACTATATTCATCTTTTTCTTCTATAGATTGTAAAATTAAATTGAGTTTTTTTGTTTATTTTTGTAGGTCCACAGCACATTTGGAATCCTTCCACAATCATCTTCTCATGTATGCAAGTAAACGTTTTAGCTTTGTACAGCCTGTGTACAATGCACGTGTTTATCTTGCTGCTTTGGACTACAACCACCATGTTGACAGGCCTATGAGAAGAATATCCTGATGGATCCTTGCAGTAAGTGTATACCAAAAGATAATCAAATCATTTTTTCTTTGTTTTAAAAATATATATATTTTGTTACATTTAGAGGGAGAAGAGTGTTTAATAAAAAATCAAGATCCTGGGCTTTTTATGCTCTGAAGGTAAAGAAGGACTATGCCTATATTCCCTCACTTCAAAGCAAGATTGTGGCTGCTCGGATAAACAGCAACAGAGGACTCCCAAAACACACCAAACTCAGATCTAATGACCCAAGACATTTAGGGTTAGTTTGTGGTGTTCCAGCCCCATCAACAAAAGAACTGAGGGACAAACATGTCAGCCGTGGAGATGGTAAGATGTTGTATTTCAATGTTGTTTATTTTTTCCCTTCTGATAAGTTGTTTAATTTCAGCAGGTCAAGAAGAACGGCAATAGATTTGGAATTTTTCCTGCAACAATAGAATATTTATTCTATTCTGAAGTTTGTAAATAAATGTATATACTTTTGCTGAAATGCTTTGCCTGTTGTAATTACAGCACATAGGCATCAGATTCAATTAGGATCCTTTATTAAAAACACACACACACACACACACAATCCTTTCAACAACACTTTACAATATAATTAAATTATAATCGTCTGGGAATGAAGCCGGTGTAGATCCCATTCGGATCAGGGTATTTCTCTCTTATTCTCCATACCACACAACTTGGAATGACCACCCTGTTGCGAGCTCCCAGTGTGCCATACTGCCATGAAACGTATTGCCTATATGCAGCATGGCGAAATTGTCTGTTGTCCTCCCCTGGTTCCGAATCATCATGAAGTGCGCGTAAGTCATTCCACAGATTCCTCGCCAGTCGCAAAACCCCTCCGTCAAGAATCAGAGTCTGCATGTGCGGAGCAAGAGAAACGCACAGGACAGGGGATTGCTGGCAGCATTTTTTTTCAATGTCTGTTGGCATGTCTTTACAGTGGCTGCAGACACACCAAGTAGGCTGATTATCTGTAAGCGGGTCTCGTGCAGCTGGGCCTGAACGGTGCATGATGCCAAGGAGAACGCCAGGGTTCCTCTCCAACACTTCCTGCAGTACTTCCAGAGCGTCCTGGTGGCTTAGGCTTTGAAGGAGTTCCTAAGAAATATACACATAGTTGTACAATAATAAGACAAGTTCTATATGCACATAAACAATACCTTTATTTGCCAAGTTACTCAGTGTTATACATAAGAGATTACTAGTTTTAATGTTATATTGTGATACAGGCATAACAATGGTGTTGGACCATGAGTCCGTAATAAAAGCTTCATTCATTCAATATTACACTCTATTTGTTGTCTTTTGAATATATTCCACTAACCCTAATAATTGTATAGTAATGATGATACAATTTTAAGTGGTTTCTATGTACAATTTGTTTTATGTCACACAAGTTCTATATCTAACCACAGCGAGAACAGCATGTGGAATTCCAGTGCATCTAATGGTTACCCATTACAGTAACTAGTAATATAACGATTGTTATCTATATTATACTCCTAACACTAGTTTCGTACAACCAAATGAAGACTTCTCAAAATGTATTTACATCTAAATACCCGTTCAAAGTTGATGCGCTGGGTTCGAATCTCATGAACACGTGCAGAATCCTCCAGGCCTACGTTGCCAGCACTTCGGCCTCTCGGGGCACGCCGACCCCGACCCAGTCCACGGCCCCTGGACGTAGACGGACGGGCTCGCTTAGGTGCTCTGCTCGTCGGGGTGAAAGGGGGTGAATCCTCGTCAGAGGACGACTCTGCTGCATGCGAACTCTAAGCAGCAAAACACATATATATGTGACATGTGATATGCAAAGCAAAGGGTCAGCTCTAGCTATATAACCTATATTAGCAATTTAGTTGCGACGATTGATAGTAACTAGCAGAATTAGCAACGTTAGCATTACTGCATATAGGCAATATTATGCAGTTCTTAGACAAAATGGATAAAATTCTTAAATACATGCTTTGTCTTACCTCAGAAATGTCCATCGCCACGAAATGAAATAAAAGAACGAATATTTGCGGACCTTCCAACTTTGTTATGTTCGGCTCAGCGCGTGCACAACCGTAGAGGCGTGGCTTCAAGAAGATTGACAAATGCAAGGGAGGGGCTAGGTAGCGGCATAGTGCCGTTCAGGTTTGAATTTTCACGCCCTCTTTTCATCCTCCGGATATTCGCTTTAATATAAAGCGAAAACACATTTATTTATTTGAACAGTAAACTTCCTGTTCAAAATGAGACAGCTACAGCAAAAAACTTATAGGCCTCTATCCCAAACTCAAAACCACAACATTTTCATTCCCAGCAAGGGTACCTAGGAAAATACATTGAGATACATGAAGCCTAATTCAATCAATCACTCAGATCTATTCAATACAATTTATTCAATACAATACAATTTATTCTTGTATAGCCCTAGGTCACAACAGAGGTCATCTCAGAGGACTTAACAAAACCATTGAAATCACCAACACAGATCAGAGAATCAACAGTTAAAACACATGAAGAATATAAAGCACACACAGAAGAACATGTCCATACATGTTGTAGAATGCGAAAGTGTCCTGATCATCACCAATCCTTTCTGTTGGACACTAACTGTTCAACAAGACCCTCCTGCATCGACAAGGAAAAACTCTTAAAAAACCCAGTGGGAAAAAGTGAGAAACCTTGGGGAGAACTAGGGAAACCCACAGGGAGGGAGACCCATTTGAGAAAAGGATCCGCTCCTCCGGACGGACAGGCTAATGATCTAGGACCTAAGCTAGCTACAGAACGTGGACCAGTGGCCGCTGAACGTGGACAGGTCCGGTGCAGGACTGAAGCACTCCCAGGCGGGTCGGGCGGGGCAGTCCGCAGGTGTAGATGGAGGAGGCCAGGCTCAGAGATCCCGTCATCGTACCATGAAACAGACAATGGGACAACGGGTGAATAGCAATGAACAAACTACAGTCAGAATCCTAATAATGCTAAACAGATAAAGTAGATAAAGTAGGAAGGAGGAGAGGATAGTGCTCAAGTTACCATACGTCTCCCAGCAAACTGACTCCCTATGCAGCTTGACTGACAGTCTGAGGAGTTTAGCCTTCCCTGAGTCTTACCTTCCTAGCCATATGCTAAACTAAAGAGGACTGTTTTAAACCTAGCCTTGAATAAAGAGAGCGTTTTTGAAAGGAGGTGAGACAGCAGCAGCAGCCACGGCTAGGCTAGTCTAGGTTACAGCACCAAGATTCATGGATTGCACACCAGGTGTGCAAACCGATCCAGGCAAAACTAATTATATATTATATATCATATACATCATATATAATACACAACATAACATACAGCATAATATATAACATAATATACAACATAACACAATACACAACATAATACATATATTGTATAATATATAACATAATACAGCATATATATATAATATATACACAATATATTATTTATTACCTAATTATATGCTAAATTAAAGTAAAGTGCTTTAAGCCTGGCCTTGAATGTGGAGACCGTATCTGCTTCCTTAACATAAATGAGAAGCTGATTCCACAGTAACGGAGCTTGGTAGCTAAACGCTCTGCCGCCAACAGTGATTTTTGAGACCTTAGGAACCACCAGACGTCTGGCGTTTTGTGGAGATAGGAAGGAGCCAAGCCATTTATGGCTTATATGTTAAGAGAAGGATTTTAAACTTTATTCTGTACTCCACAGGGAGCCAGTGGAGTGATTTTAACACCGGAGTTATGTGCTCCCTCCTTTTGGTACCTGTTAAGATCCTAGCTGCTGTATTCTGAACGAGCTGGAAGCTCTTCAAAGAGGCTTTAGGGCACGCTGCCAATAAAGCGTTAGTAGTCGAGCCTTGAGGTGACAAACGCGTGAATACGTTTTTCCGCGTCACTTTTAGGAAGGAAATTCCTAATTTTAGCGATGTTCCGTTAGTGGAAGTACGCCGTTTTAGTTGCTTGGCTTATATAAGCCTTGAAGGAGAGTTCTTGGTCAAAAATGACTCCAAGATTCCTCACAGTCTATGTCTCACTGACTGCAGGAGAACATGGACCAGTGAACTCACTCTTCCACTACATCCAACCGATCAATGAATGGATACAAAACAACTTCCTTCAGCTAAACACAGACAAAACCGAAATGATTGTCTTTGGCCTTGTTTTGTTCAGCACTTTGAGTTCCCTCGTGCATGATTGCCTTGCCAATTATAGAATTTTTGGTGAATATCTTTCAGTGCAAGGTATTAATTTGAAAAGGTTCTCATTTCCAGTGCCAAATACCCAACGCAGTTTTTTTTTCTTCCCTATTCAACATTATTCCCACGATACACATTCAATGCCACGGCTCATCGCACCAGCAAATCACTGGATTATAGCACAATCCCATTTCCATCAGATGCTCTTCTTTTGCGGCTCGACTTGATGCAGTGAGGGAGATGCCGTCTAGAAGGGGGGAGGAGGCACGGGGGCTTGGGTTGAACCAATAATAGGGGTGTAAGGGTCCGGCAGTGACAGCTTCACGCTTCTACTGATGACAGCCAATACGTTTTAGCAGAACTTAAACACCAACTCCAGGTTTATGTATAAGTACA